TATTTATTTGAAGTTTTTCTTCTCTTTTGATGTAGACACTTGTAGCTATAAATTTCCCTCTTTGTACTGCTTTTGCTGTATCCATGGGTTTTGGTATGTTTGCATTATCATTTGTTTCAAGAAATGATTCAATTTCCTCATCAATTTCTTCATTGACCCATCAGTCATTCAGGAGTATATTGTTTACTTTCCATGTGTTTGTATAATTTCTAAAATTCCTATTATTGATTTCTAGTTTTATTCCATTGTGTTCAGAGAAGATACATTATATTATTTCAACTTTTTGAGTGTTTTAATACTAGTTCTGTGACCTAAAATATGGTCCACTCTTGAGAATGATCTATGTGATGAGAAGAAAAAACGTGTATGTTGCGTCCATTGGATAAAATGTTCTGTAAATACCTATTAGGTTCATTTGTTCTATACTACAGATTGAATCCAATGTTTCCTTGCTGATTTTCTGTCTGGGAGATCTGTCCAATGCTGAAAGCGAGGTGTTGAAGTCTCCAGCTATTATTGTATTGGGGTCTACCTCTTTAGCTCTAATCTGAATCTAACTCTATTTTGTCTAATATAAGTATAGCTATTCCTGCTCTTTTTTGGTTTCCATTGTCACAAATATATTTTCCATTCTTATGTTTTTATTCCATGTGTATCTTTATAGGAGAAGTGTATTTCTTATAGGTAACAGATCATTGGCTCTTGTTTTTTAATTAATTCAATAACTGTATGTCTTTAGATTGGACAGTTTAGTTCATTTACATTTAATGTTGTTACTAATAAGTGAGGACTTTTGGTATTTTATTTTTTGTTTTCTGGTTGTTTTGTGATCTTCTGTTTCTTCTTCATTTTCCTCTTCCTTTTAGTGAAGGTAATTTTCACTGATGGCATATTTTAATTTCTTGCTTTTCATTTTTTGCTTATTCATTGTATGTTTTTAGATTTGAAATTACTATGAGGCTTGCAAATGCTATCTTATAACTCATTATTTTAAATGGATGACAACTTAATAGTGATTGCATAAACAAACAAACACAAAAAGAAAACTAATAAAAACTCTACACTTTAACTTCGTCTCTCTGCTTTTTAACTGTTTGTTGTTTCTCTTTATGTCCTATGGTACTATGTCTTGAAAGTTGTAGTTGTTTCTGATTGGTTTATCATTTGGCCTTTCTACTTAAGATAAGAGTAGTTTACATACCACAATTACAGTGTTACAGTATTATGTGTTTTTCTGTGTGCTTCCTACTGCCATTGAATTTTGTACCTTCAGATGATTTCTTCTTGCTCATTAACATCCTTTTCTTTCAGACCGAACAACTCCCTGTTTGTAAGACAGGTTTGGTGTTGATGAACTCTCTCAGTTTTTGTCTGTCTGGGAAGGTCTTTATTTCTCCTTCATCCTTGAAGCATATTTTTTTGCCAGATATACTACTCTAAGGTAAAAGTTTTTTTTCCCTTCAGCATATTAAATATGTCATGCCACTGTCTCTTGGCCTGTAAGGTTTCCAGTGAAAAGTCTGATACTAGATGTATTGGAATTTTATTGTTTGCTATGTTTTCTTTTCTTTTGCCACTTTAGGATTCTTAGTTTATACTTGATATTTGGGAGTCTGATTATCAAATGTCTGAGGTAGTCTTCTTTGGGTTAAATTAGCTGGGTGTTCTGTTACCTTCTTGTACCTTGTACTTGAATATTGGTATCTTACTCTGAGTTTGGGAAGTTCTCCCTTTGCATAAACTTTCTACACATCTATCTCTTTCTCAATCTTCTCTTTAAGGCCAATAACTCTTAGATTTGCCCTTTTGAGGCTATTTTCTACATCTTGTAGCATGCTTCATTCTTTTTTCTTTTGTCTCCTTTGACTATATATTTTCAAATAGCCTGTTTTCAAGATCATTAATTCTTCCTTCTGTTTGATCAATTCTGTTATTAAGAGATGCTGATGCATTCTCCTGTAGGTCAATGTATTTTTCAACTCCAGAATTTCTGCTTCTTTTTAATTATTTCAGTTTCCTTAAAAAATGTATCTGATAGAATTCTGAATTCCTTTTATGTGTTATCTTGAATTCTTTTGAGTGTCCTCAAAACAGCTACTTTGAATTCTTTGTTTGAATGATTACATATCTCTGTCTCTCTGGGATTGGTCCCTGATGCCTTATTTAGTCTATTTGGTAAGGTCATGTTTTCCTGAATAGTCTTTTTTTTTTTTAATTCAAAATTACATTTTATTGCAGAATTTAAAAATAGTTTTCCTTATAGGCTTCCTGGACTAGAGACTTACATTTTCTTTCTTTCTTTTTAAAATTATATATATATTTTCTTTTTCTATACTTTTAAGTTCAGGGATACATGTGTAGGTTTGTTATATAGGTAAACTTGTATCATGGGAGTTTGTTGTACAAATTATTTTGTCACCAAGGTATTAAGCCTAGTACCCATTTGTTATTTTTCCTGATCCTCTCCCTCCTCCCACCCTCCATCCTCTACCTTCCAGTAGGCCCCAGTGTGCGTTGGTCCCCTCCATGAGTCTATGTGTTCTCATCATTTAGCTCCCACTTATAAGTGAAAACAAGTGATATTTGGTTTTCTGTTTCTGTGTTAGTTTATTAAGGATAATGGCTGCTAGCTCCATTGGCAGCTGTCCTTGATCTTGTTCTTTTTTTGGCTACATAGTATTCCATGAGGTATATGTACCACATTTTCTTTATCCAGTCCACAATTGATGGGTATTTAGGTTTATTCCATGTCTTTGCTATTGTGAATAGTGCTGCAATGAACATACGCAAGCATGTGTCTTTATTATAAAATGGTATCTATTCTTTTGGGTATATACCCAGTAATGAGCTTGCTGGGTCAGATGGTGTTTCTGTCTTTAGGACTTTGAGGAATCACCAAATTGTCTTTCACAATGGTTGAACTGATTTACATTCCCATCAACAGTGTATAAACATTCCTTTTCTCCACAACCTTGCCAGCATCTGTTATTTTTGACTTTTATTAATAGCCATTCAGACTTGTGTCAGTTGATATCTCATTGTGGTTTTGATTTGCATTTCTCTAATGATCAGTGATGTTGAGCTTTTTTTAAATAAGATTGTTGGCCACATGTATGTCTTTTTTTTGAAAAGTGCCTCAGCAAATATTGCTGCCTGATCCTTCCTCTGGAAGCTTTGTCTCAGAGGGGCACCTGGCTGTATAAGGTGTCAGTCGGCCCCTACTGGCAGACATCTCCCAGTTAGGCTACACGGGGGTCAGGGACTCACTTGAGGAGGCAGTCTATCTGTCCTCAGAGCTCAAACTCTGTGCTGGGATAACCACTGCTCTGTTCAGAGCTGTCAGTCAGGGACGTTTAAGTCAGCAGAAGTTTCTGCTCCCTTTTGTTCAGCTATGCCCTGCCCACAGAGGTGGAGTCTACAGAGGCAGACAGCCCTCGTTGAGCTGCGGTGGGCTCCACCCAGTTTGAACTTCCTGGTGGCTTTGTTTACCTACTCAAGCCTCAGCAATGGCAGACACCCCTCTGCCAGCCCAGGCTGCTAGCTGGCAGTTCAATCTTGGACTGCTGCACTAGCACTGAGCAAGGCTCTGTGGGCGTGGGACCTGCCAAGCCAGGCGCAGGATATAATCTCCTGGTGTGCTGTTTGCTAAGACCATTGGAAAAGTGCAGTATTAGGGCAGGAATGTCCCGTTTTTCCAGGTACAGTCTGTCACGGCTTTCCTTGTCTAGGAAAGGGAAATCCCCCAATCCCTTGCACTTCCCTGGTGAGGCAACACCCTGCCCTGCTTGGGCTCACCCTCCGTGGACTGCACCTACTATGCAACCAGTCCCAGCGAGATGAACCAGGTACCTCAGTTGGAAATGCAGAAATCACCTGTCTTCTGCATTGATCACACTGGGAGTTGCAGACTGGAACTGTCATTATTCGGCCATCTTGGAACGATCCTTCACAAACCATCCTTCTCATATATATTGTTTTTACCTTCAGTGTAGACTAGGACCTGATCATTTCTCATTACTTTGAGTGCAATGCCCTGGCCTACCCTGTCATTAATGATTACCTGTATTATTGCAAAACTGCCCTACTAGACTTCCCACTTCTGCATGAACTCCCTTACTGCAGGCTAATGTCAACCTAGCCACCACAGACATCTCTCTGCAAAAGATGCATCAGATATGTCACTTGTGTGCTCAAATCCCTCCAAAGGCTTTTAATCTCACTTCAAGTAAAAGAGAGTGATGAAAATGACCGACAGGGGCCTTCACCAACTTGCCTTCAGTTTCTTCTGACCTCATCTTCTTTCCTTTCCACCTCACATATTCCAGGCATGCATTGCTTCTAAATCTTTTCACTTGCTGATTTCTCTACCTGGAATTCTTTTCTCCACATAATGTTCATTGTTTATACCTTGCCTCCTCTACATTATTGTTCAACTGTCACTTCTCAGTGTGGCTTTCTCTGTAAAACTGCAAACACCAACATATTCTCTACCACTACTCATATCATCTTAACATAAACCCCGCCTTCCCTCTGGCCCTTTAGTTGATGACAGTATTGAGCCCTTCCTTCTTCTTGTTATTTAGAGTATCCCTGGGTTAGAGGTGAGGAGATACCCAGGATTTCCTACTCCAACCATAAGGGGCAATGAATTTCACAGCAGTGCCTCTGTCAGAAGCCCAAATTGTCTTTAGAAGCCCAAAGTTGGAAGCCAGTTGTGGTGGTGTGTGCCTATAATCCCAGATGCTAGGTAGGCTGAGGTGGGAGAATCACTTAAGCCCAAGAGTTCAAGACCAGTCTGGGCAACATGGCAAAACCCTGTCTCAAAAACAACAAAAAAATGAACTCAAAGTTGAGAAAGTTATAATCTAGTCACTATTTTAAGTTAAGACCTGCTAATCTCATATGTAGATCTTTTCCTTTAGGGGAAATATCAATAATTGGTGAGAGTTTAACCATTTTCTTCCTTTCCCAACTGATGTTCTCCTTTCATCTCCTCCTAGCAACATGCCCTCCATGTTTGAACGCATTAGCAAAAATTTGATCAAAGAGATTGGAAGCAAAGACTTGACACCTGTCAAATACCTACTGAGTGCCACCAAATTACGTCAGTTTGTTATATTACGAAAGAAGGATTCTCGTTCATCTATTTGGGGACAATCTGACTATGTTCCAGTTGGATTCTCCCTCAATGATATCCTGGAGCCAAGTTCTTCAGTCCCAGGTATTGTCAGCCAGAGGCCTCGGAGGTGAGGGGTGAAAAACATGGGTGGTCAGAAAAAGATGGCCCAGCATCCAAAAATAACTGAGCACTTAGAAAGGAACTCTCAGGACTAGCCTTGCCTGTAGACAGGGGCAAGAAACAAAGACAAATTGAGAATCCTACTAATTATCTGGATGTAGGCATTCATTAGGTCATTTAATATTTGCATCAGGCTCATGAGGATATTATCCCCATTTTACATAAGAGTAAATAGAAGGTTATACAATTGTCTGTTCAAAGTTATGTACCTGGGGGCTGGGCACTGTGGCTCATGCCTATAATCCCAGCACTTTGGGAGACTGAGGTGGGCAGATCACTTGAGGCCAGGAGTTCGAGATCAGTCTGGTCAACATGCCGAAACCCAGACAGGGTGGTGCACTCTTGTACTCTCATATACTCGGGAGGCTGAGACTCAATAATTGCTTGAGCCCAGAAGGTGGAGGTTGCAGTGAGCTGAGACTGCACCAATGCACTCCAGCCTGGATGACAGAGTGAGACTCTGTCTCAAAACAACAACAACCACCAAACCAAAAACAGTTTGTCCCTGGGAACTGGTAGAACTGCTATCCAAACCCAGGTCTGTCTGGCTCCACATCCCAAACATTTTCGGCCCCTGTGTGCTGCCCTCTGCGGCTGGGTGCTGTGCCTGCTGCAGAGGAGACAGTGTGCCTGGAAGGATGATCCCAGGGGTCTTCTGGACACTGTACATTTGACACCACTATTTCTCAGGGTGAAGATTTTATCTCTGTCACACAGTGCCCCTTTAAACATTTTCTGTCTGTAGTAATTTACATTCAGTTGATTAGTTAGTTTTCAACAGAGTTTTAAATGAGTGGGAGGGTTGGGGCAAAATAGGTCTTTGTGATTTCATTCTGCTCACCAGCTGTTCTTGGCTAAACCTTTGAATTCTTGAATGAATTCTTGGCTAAACCTATGGTCATCTTTTCTTTCCCAGAAACTGTTGTGACAGGACCGTTCCACTTCAGTGACATTATGATCCAGAAGCATAAGGCTGATGTGAGTGTGAATGTTGGTGTAGAAGTGAGTGTGTCAGGGGAGGCCTCTGTGGACCATGGATGCTCCCTTGAGTTTCAAATTGTTACCATCCCATCTCCAAACCTGGAAGACTTTCAAAAAAGGTGAGGCCATGGGAGAGGAAGGGAATGGATCATCAGTATCCCAGGGGGTGCTATCCTTGAACACAAAAATACATCTAGCAAGTCTTGTTGTAGGAATGAAAATCAAGATGATGACATTCCAGATTTTGCTACTCTTTTTAAGTATTCATACCTTCCTTTACTCAAGTAATAGCTATTAGTTACCTAACAAATACTTATTAGAGCAATAACTACCCACTACTGTGCTGTTATTCACTGGGGATAGAATGAAAACAAGACAGATGTAAATACCTGTCATAAAGCAGCTTACATTTAGTGGAGACAAGGGATGGGCAGGGAGTAAGAAAATAAGCAATAAAAAATAAATTAACAAAGTATTAATTTAAGTGAGACAAAGACTCTAAAACTATTTATTTAAATAACATGTACATTACTGTCTTGGGATTTATTTTTATTTTTTTCAGCTCTATTGAGATATAGTTGACAAAATTGTGTGAATTTAAGGTGTACAATGTGATGATTTGATGCATGTATATATTGTGAAAAGACCACAATAAAGGCAGTTAACATACTTATTACTTCACCTAGTTATTTTTTTTTTTTGTGGTGAGAACATTTAATATCTACTCTCAGCAAATTTCAAATATACAATACAGTATTGTTAGTCTGTGTTCCCTTTCACCAATGTCCCCCCATTTCCCTGACTTCCTAACCCCTGCTAACCACCATTATATTTTGTTTCTCTAAGTTTGACATTTACAGGTTCCACATATATGTGAGATTATACAGTATTTGTATTTCTCTGTTTGACTTTTATTTAGCATAAAGCCATCAAGGTTTATCCATGTTGTTGCAAATAGCAGGGTTTCTTCCTTTTTTATGGCTGAATAATATTCCATTGTACACACATACCATGATTTCTTTTTCCATTCATCTGCTGGCAGGCACTTAGGTTGTTTTGGTGTCTTGGTTTTTGTGAACAATGCTGCAATGAACATAGAAGTGCAGATATGTCTTTGAGCTACTAATTTAGTTTTCATTGGCTGTATACCCAGAAATGGGATTGCTGGATCATATGGTAGTTCTAGTTTTAGTTTTTTGGAGAACCAACATACTGTTTTCCATATGGCTGTATCAATTACATTCCAACTAATAGCATACAAGGATTTCCTTTAATTCACATCTTTGCCAACACTTATCTTTTTGTTAAAAGCCATCCTAACAGATGCGAAGTTTTGTCTCATTGTGGTTTTGATTTGTATGTCCCTGATAAGTAATCTTGAGCACCATTTCATGTGCCTGTTAGCTTATTTGTATGTCTTTTTTTGGAGAAAATATCTATTTAGGTCTTTTGCCCATTTTTTAAATCAAGATTTTTGTTTTTGTTTTTGCAATTTAGCTATATGAATTCTTTATATATTTTAGATATTAACCCTTTATCAGGTTTGCAAATATTTTTGACCATTCTGTAGGTTGCATTTTCACCCTGTTGATTGTTTCCTTTGCTGTGCAGAAGCTTTTTAGTTTGCTGAATACCACTTTTCTTTTTTTAGCTGCTGGTGCTTTTGGTGTCATATCAAACAAACTGTTGCCATAACCAATCTTGAGGACCTTTCCCCCTGTATTTTCTTCTAAAAATGTTTTAAGGTTCCGTATCATATATTTAGGTTTCTAATCTACTTGGAGTTGATCTTTGTGTATAAGGTAAGGACCCAGTTTCAGTCTTTTGCATGTGAATATCCAGTTTTCTCAACACCATTTTTTGAAGACACTATCCTTTATCCCACTATCTATTCTTGTCACGCTTGTCAAATATTAATTGATCATACACATATGAGTTTATTTCTTGGCCCTCTACTCGATTCCACTAGTTTATATGTCTGATTTTATGCAAGTGCCGTAAGTTTTAACTTCTGTAACTTTGTAATATACTTTGAAATCAGGAAGTATGGGGTGTCTAGCTTTGTTTTTTCTTGAGATTGCTTTAGCTATTCTGGGTCTTTCCATAAGAGTTTTAGGATTATTTTTTCTATTTCTGTGAAGATTGTCGTTGGTATTTTGATAAGAATTGCATTGAATCTATAAATTGCTTTGAGTAGTACGACATTTTAATGATATGAATTCTTCTTATCCATGAGCACAAAAATTTTGCTGTTTATTTTTGTCTTCTTTAATCAATTTTGTAGTTTTCAGTATATAGACCTTTCGCCTCCTTGGTGAAATGTATTCACAAGTATTTTATTATTTTTGATTCTATTATAAATGGATTTTTTTTTTTTTTTAAGACAGAGTCTCACTCTGTCACCCAGGCTGGAGTGCAATGGCATGATCTTGACTCACTGCAACCTCTGCCTCCCGGGTTCAAGCAATTCTCCTGCCTCAGCCTCCCAAGTAGCTGGGATTACAGGTGCTTGCCACAATGCCCAGCTAATGTTTTGTATTTTCAGTAGAGATGGGGTTTTGCCATGTTGGCCAGGCTGGTCTCGAGCTCCTGACCTCAGGTGATCCACCTGCCTCAGCCCCCCAAAGAGCTGGGATTACAGGTGAGAGCCACCATGTTCAGCCTATAAATTGATTTTTAAAGATAGTTCATTGTTAATTTATAGAAATACAACTGATTTTTAATGTTGATTTTGTATCCCGCAACTTGACTGCATTTATTTATTAGTTCTAATATTTTTAAAGTGAAGTTTTTAGGATTTTCAATGTATAAGATAATATCATCTGTAAAGAGACAATTTTACTTCTTTCTTTCCTATTTAGGTGCCTTTTATTTATTTATTTTTACCTAATTTCACTGGCTAGCATTTCCAGTGCTATACTGAAGAGAAGTGGTGAGGGCGGACATTCTTGTTTTGTTCCTTATTTTAAAGGAAAAACTTTTCAACATTGAGCATTATGTTAGCCGTGGACTTTATTATGACCATGTATAGCCTTCATTATGTTAAAGTACATTTCTTCTATATCTAATTTGCTGAGAGTTTTTATCATGACAGGATGATAAATTTCACCAAATACTTTTTCTACATCTACTGACAAATTTTTTGTATTTTTATTAGAGACAGGGTTTTGCCGTATTAGCCAGGCTGGTCTTGAACTCCTGGCCTCAAGTAATCTGCCTGCCTTGGACTCCTAAAATGCTGAGATTACAGACATGAGCCACCGTGCCAGGCCTTCAGCTTAATTTTGATTGCATAAAAAGCATTATACCTTTACTTCTTCCCCTCATTGATATTTTAGGTTATTGATATTATGATTTACATATTTTTATACTGTATATCTAAAAACAAATTATTGTAGAGTTATTTTTAATATACTTAAAACATTTTTATACTAGAGTTGAAAATCATTTATGAACCACATTTAGAATATTACAGAATTCTGACTCTGATTATATATTTTCCTTTACTGACGAATTTTACACATTCATGTGTTTTATGTTGTTAATTAACATATTTTCATTTCAAATTGAAGAATTCCCTTTTGCATTTCTTGTAAGGTGCTCTGCCCTCATGAATGGATTAATATCATTATCATGGGAGTTGGGTAGTTTTTGCAGGAGTGGGCTCTTGACAAAAGGGTGAAGTTCAGCGCTTATATTCTCTTTGTCTTGTGTGTTTGCTTCTGCTTTTCACCATCTTCTATGAGATGACGTAACACCAAATGCTGGTGCCATGCTCTGAGGCTTCCCAGCCTCCAGAATCATGAGCCAAATAAACTTCAGTTTTATATAATTTAGCCAGTCTGTCATATTCTCTTACAGCAACAGAAAACAGAACAAGACAGCAGTTTTTTTTTTCTTTCAGTATCTTGAATATATCATCCTTTCCTAGCCAGGTTTCTCCTAAGAAATTTGCTGATTGTCTCATAGATACTCCCCTGTATGTAATGAGTAGCTTTTCTCTTGTTATGCTCGGTATTTTCTCTTTATCTTTGACTTTTGATAATTTAATTGTAATGTGTCTTGGTGTAGACCCTTTTGGGTTCAACCTATTTGGGAAATTTTTAGTGTCACAAATCTTGATGCCCCCTTCTCTCTCAAAATTTGGGAGTTTCCTCCTCTCCTCTCCTCTCCGCTCCTCTCCTCTCCTCTCCTCTCTTCTCTTTTGTGACAGGGTCTTGCTCTGTCACTGAGGCTGGAGTGCAATGGCATGATCCTGGTTCACTGCAGCCTCTACCTCCTGGGCTGAAGTGATCCTCCCACCTCAGCTTCCTGGTCAGGCCAGGGCAGAGGCTGTGCTCAGGAGTTAGGTGTGGTTGCTGGCTGGCCTTCCTATTTGGGCAAAGTCTTAGGCTGGGCCCTGAGGCTGGCCAGAGTTGTGGAGGATCCTTGGTCTGTTGGGGCCAGAGGCTGTGCTCCACAGTTAGGCAGCATTGCTGGCTGGCTTTCCTGTCTCACAAGGAACTTAGGTTGGGCTCTGAGACTGACCTCCACAGTGAGGCTATACCACTGGCTAAGGATGCAAGCCAGACAGAAGCTGCCTACCATCCTTCCTGGCCAGACAATTTGGTTGGCTTGGGTCTGCAGGCGGGCAAGCTGCTGGCTGGTCTCTCTGATTGGGTACCACTGCTAGTAGGAATGCAGTGTCACTGCCAAGATCCATGCAGTGATTGCTGAAGCCTTGACCAGTTCTTTGCTTCTAGGTGACCCAGGTGGTCTAGTCCTGCTGATTCCCTCAATGTTCTCTGTGACATGGGACAGAGCTGGACATCCTAGGATGTGCTTTGGAATGCTTTTTGAAGCTGGATAGCTACTTTGGCTCTCTTTTTTCCCGTTGAAGAGATTGTGGGCCCAGGGGAACTCCATCCATGTTGTGATGGCGCTTGGGGGAAGGGTGATTCTGCCAAAGTAAAACTCTTACTCTTACCCTTCTAATGAAGGGTGAAACACCAAGCTTGGTGTTTTCAGGATAAGGGGCAAGGTCAGTGAGTTGGAAGCCTAGACAACCAGGATAAAGGAGATATAACATGAAGCTTGGAAGATAAGTAGATGTCACATAACATAGCATCTAAGGACATGGTAAGAAGACAGCAATGACAAAACCTAATATTGTGTGCTCAGTAACCTCCTCTACTGAAAGGCAAATTAAGAATCCCTCAATATTCCACATGACTGTTATCTAGGACACTGACTCTATAGGTGCCTTGAGTAGAATCAAGGTTGAGCCTCAGAAAGAACTGAAATAGAAATGAAATCTGTCTTCAGTACTTCAAACCATTCATAGGTATCCCCAGAAACTACATCATCAAGTCAGCCCTACCAATCCACCCACCATGGACAGTAAATCTGTAAAGGTCATAAAATCATCCAGAGTCTTCCCTGCTTCATCCCACTTTATCTGTCTGCTCTCCAGCCCACCCTGATTGTGCTAATGGACACGTTCGATGTGAATACCCAGCTTTGACAACAGGACTTCCTAAAGACCGTTCTCAATCATCTGGACCTGTCTGCTTCTAGCCCTTTTTTTTCTGAGAGACCCTAGTGTTGAAATTCTATAAATTACCCCTTAACAGGACCAGTATAATTTAGCAAAATGCAGATGCCTTTAACAATATGGTACATATACTCTCACACCTGAACCACCATCAATGGGATCTCCTCCATTCTGTATGTCAGATAAAACTTTCTGCTGCCCTAACACCCACTGGGGGCTCACCTTTCAGGGTCCAAAGGCATTGCACCCCTCCCAGGTCTTGAGGAGAAGGGCCCCCAGGGTAACCTGAAAAGGCATTGCTTTCCCACTCTGACTCTCCTCCTCCTTCCTTAAATCCCCAGGAAACTGTTGGATCCAGAGCCATCATTTCTGAAGGAGTGCCGGAGGAGAGGGGACAACCTGTACGTGGTGACAGAAGCTGTTGAACTGATCAACAATACTGTGCTGTACAATAGCAGTGATGTGAATATTTCAGGGAAAATTTCTCTTTGGATTACATATGGCAAGGTATAAAGTTGTCCTGAAGTGGGATTGAAATACAAAACATATAGCCTGTCCTGGCAGCCAAGCTTCATTTCCTAGGGGGCTCTGGACTCTGTTTCCAGGGATTACAAAGGATGGAGTCATTATTTCCCACTTCTTACCTGTCAGTGTATCCTGACTTCTGATCTGAGAGTATATCCTAATATCCTCCATTATAGTGTTTTACTATACGGGGTCATGCAGTATTGACAAAATCAGAAATATATTTAATTATTTAGTATTGTGTTTTGCTTTGGGTAAATGATAAATTCTGCAGAATTCAAGTGTGTGATCTCTGTATTATATACAGTCTAGTTTTGTGGCTGGAAGAGATGTGGGACCACTAACACCAAACCCCAGTTGTTAAAGTACTTTAAACTCTAAGATAACCTGATGAGAAATATTTCAAGGAGTGAGATCAAAGTATTTTCAAGAACGTGTGACTTACACAAGTCATTCACAATAACCAAGTATAATATTTTTAATATAAATAAATTCATTTATCAAATATTCAGATTAAGTATGGGTCAAGGACATATAAAGTTTGTGTGTGTTATAATGTGTTTTACACTGTGTCTGTGTAATTTGTCCTTACTTAAGAGCTTTAGAAACTAAAGAAGAAACCTGAAATGCATACTAACTTTCCCAATGCCAGTGAGTTACTGCTAAAAATTAGACAAATGGTAACAGACCCCGGAAAGCTGGAATAGTGGACCCCCACCTGCAGCAGGGAGGGAAGTCTAGAAACAAGAATCCCCAAACGGTTCAGGAATCGGAGGCACTAGCTATCTCTGAAGATAGGGTATAGGTGGGACTGAAAGTAAGAATATTGATTGGAAATCTTTTTAATTTTTAAAAAAATGTTTGTGGGTATATAGTAGATGTATACATTTATGGGGTACATGAGATATTTTGATACAGGCATACAATGTGTAATAATCACTCCAGGGAATCTTTATAAGGAATACTCAGAGCCCAAATCCCTTCCCACCTCTGCATAGCCAGGCACCTACCCTCACCCACTCTGGCAGAAGATCTTGTGGAAAACTTATTCCCTGTGGATTCTAGATTTACGGAGACTAGTTACAGTGAAGGGTGGGAGTGAGAAGCCATATTGGAAAAGGGAAATAGGTGCAAGTCCTCATTGAGAGTGGGAACATTGAGTCCCTTTCCCCATTCAGCTCCAGGCATCATGTCTCTACCCTTTCTACCCCCACAACACACAGCCTAGGCAGGATATTGAAGAATTATTTCCTAGGAAAATTAACCAGTACAGAAGAAATAACTAAAAAAACCCCAACGACTGGAGACTCCAAAGAGATAGTTTAATCCCTGCCTGGTTGCCCCAAAGTGAAACCTCTACTCAACATGCCCTGCCTAGGCACACTTAGCAGCTTTCACGCTTCACTCGTTAGCGAAACAGAAAAAAATCACAGACACTTGAGGAAAGCCTAAAACACAAAACAAAAACACTTTGAAATTAGGAAATTAGAGGAAACAAAAACAACATAGGAAGGTAAGAAATACCTGATCCCGTTAAAGAGATAATATTTTATTTTCATGAAAGAATAATGCTCTGTAAAAAGGGTATTTATAGCTCTTAGAAATTAAAAATAGAGTAGTAGAAATTTATTATTCTTTTACTTAAATAGAAGAATCAAAAAGCAAAATCAAAGAAATTTCCAGGAAAAAGTAAGGAAAAAGACAGGAGAATATTCATTAAAAAAATTTGGAGGCTAGGCACAGTGGCTCATGCCTGTAATCCTAGCACTTTGGGAGGCTCATGCAGGTGGATTGGTTGAGCTCAGGAGCTCAAAACCAGCCTGGGCAACATAGTGAGACCTTGTCTCTATAAAATATAAACAAAAAATTAGCCAGATGTGGTGGCGCATGCCTGTAGTTCCAGTTACTTGGGAGGCTGAGGTGGGAGAATTGCTTGAGCCTGGAAGTTGCAGCTGTTGTGAGCCATGATTGTGCCACTGCATTCCAGCCTGGGCAACAGAATGAGACACTGTCTCAATTAAAACAAAACAAAACTTGAGGATCAGTCAAGGAGATTTAACTACTCCTGAATAATAGGAGTTCCAGAAGGGGAGAACAAAGACATAATGCAATGTGGAAAATCTTTTAGGAGGAAATACAAGGAAGGTTCTGAGACCCAAAGAATGTGTTTCCAGAATGAAAATGTCCACTGAAGGCATGGTTTCTTGAGTCAACATAGATCTACCCCATAAAACTTAAGAGTTAATTTTCAGAACACTTACCTCAAAAAGACAACAATAGATATTTCTAAAAGGGAAATAAAGTCATATTCTAGAGAATTCCAGCCAAGAATTGTATGACCAGTCAAAATAGCAATCACGTGTGAGAGGTACAATAAAAATGTCTTTAGACGCACAAGTTCTCAAAAAAATGTGTCCCCCATCTCCTCTGGAGAGAATGAGTAAAGAAACAGAGAAGGCACAGGGACATCACATTAACTGAATGTGGTGATAAAGGAAAGATGGGAGTGGTGAAAAGCAGTTTTGTCCAAGTATAAACAGTGAATATTACCTTAAAAATTGGGATATTCATATTTTAGGAAGATGGGAGAAGGGAAATAAGGAATGAGGAAAGAAGGAAAACAAATTCATCATAATCAAAAAGAGAATAAATAGTTAAATCTGGAAAGAAATAAAAACATTGCAATATCAACATGAAATTGAGAAACGGGAAGATGAGCACAGGATGAAACAAGGAAGAAAGAGCAGTGATTGGAAATCACAAGTCAGCAGTAGGGAGGATGAGAGCAGGGAATGCTGGTGGTTTTCCTCATGAGCTTTCTAGAGCCATCTGACCTTTAAAATTACATACATTTAATACTGTATTGTCTGGTTTCTCTCCCCAGGGTCAAGGCCAAGGAGACAGTCTCAGAGTGAAGAAGAAGGCGCTGACTCTGCAAAAGGGCATGGTGATGGCTTATAAGAGAAAACAGCTGGTTATCAAGGAGAAAGGTGGGAGTAAGCAGAGCTCAGTAAGGCAGATGGCGGTGGAGGGGGGTGTCTACTTCTCCTGAGAGAGAAGCGAGAGGAAAATAGCCATAATATGCAATCTTTGCTGCTCTGCCTATCCAAGGAGAAGCATGCATATTTCTTACTGTCCAGGGCACACACCCATCTTACCACACAGAGGTACCTCCAAGCATGGCCTGGCTGAAATGCTGCTACTGGGAGATACAGAGACAGCCTCATACATGCAAAATAATCCAACTTGTTCATCTTGGAGTGTTGTTAGCACTGGACAAATTCCAACCATACTCCTAACCATCCTTATTCACTTAAGTACCCTCAGCAACTCTTCAGTCACAGAGAATTACCCAAGCTTACCCATAATCCCATATTAAGGTCCTATGAGGTAACAACATCACAATCACAAACAAAACTGCACACACAATGCCCTAAGAACATAAGCCTGAATTTTATCTACATCTTTCCCTCCTTCATCAGCCTCAAAATGCACAGTTCCTGACCACACACACTTTGGGTTTTGACTCCATGTGGGCAGAAGCATCTGTGTCAGTTGCATACCTGGGTGTGATGGCAAATGCTGGGAACACAACCGGCTCTCAGAGTCCTTGTTCTCTCCCTTCCCAAATGCTGAGTCCCAGCTAGAGCTCATTCAAATACAGATCAAGCTCAGCTCCTCCTCATTCTCGCACACACTCTCACACTCTACTGCCTATAGTATCCTCACTGCAACATGGTCAAAGGAATGTCCTGATGTCAGTTACCTCCCATCAGTGGCCATAGACAGAATGACGCTGAACTCTCTCCAATCTTTCAGTTAGTAGACTCTGGCTTCTGGAAAGACTGACCATATCCAAAGCAGCTCTCTAATGAAGAGAAGGGGTGAGAATGGGATTCCCACTCTTGGGAAAGGTCAGAGACTCCTGTGGAGGGCACCATGAGATGGTGGCACTACCAAAGGTCATGGTGAATGATAAGATGATTTTAACATAGAAGGAAAAGAAAAGGAGCTGTAGTTTCAAAATATCATCATCATCAACAACAAACAAAGAATGATGTGGTCAGGTAAAAGAAGACCCCACAAAACATGATGTGGTAGTATCCAGATAGAATCAAGTCAGTATTCATTGGTGACTGAAGCCAGGTAGATTCATTGGAGAATAAACTACAGTAGTTGAAGTGTGAATGCAAAGAGGGGAAGTGAGGAACCAGTGTGTAGATGGTTCTTGAAGGAAGTTGGCTGTGAGGAGACAATAGGTGGGAGGAGGAGATAACTAAAGGAGGATACTTAGCTTTGGAAAGGGAGTTTACGAGATGGTGAAGACTTGAGCCTGTTCTCAGGCTAGGGGAAAGATCCTGATGAACTGGAGAGGGTGAAGATGAATTGGTGTCAGTTACATTGCTGGACATGTATCTCCATTCCTTGCATCAGCTAGGGAGAGAAGATCTCATTTCCATTTTACAGATGAGACGTCTGACATAGAGGAGTGCCACTTTCCCCGCTAGTAGTCAGAACACGACTTGCAGTCACTGCTGTGAGGTTAGCTTTTCCTCTAACTTCATTCAGTTCACACTTTTCAACCCTTATACAACCTTTTTGTCTTCTTCATAGGCTCTTTCCCCTGTTGAACACTTACACTTTAGTGTTAGGTGAGTTTCAGACTTCAGCATATTTCTCTACATGGAATGTGAAATCATCCAAGAAGATGCCAGATTGAGAGTGGTAAGTAAGGCAGGTCAGTAAGAAAAGGGCAGCAGGAAGCAATCCTACCTAGTGAAGGTCAAAGGGAGCTGAGTTCCTTTACTCTATCAAGGTAATTTCCAAATGTTGGATGGCAAAATGATTACCTAAATTGCTTATTTAAATGCAGGTTCTACAGCACCCTTCAAAGTGATTCAGAAGGCACAGAGTGAGGCCAGGGGTCAGATTTAACAGGCATCCCAGTGGTTTTGATACAAAGGGTTCCCTGGTCCAGGTTGGGGCTGTGGGAAAGACTCAGGCAGGAATAACCTCAACTCTCCTAATGGAAGTTCTTTCCATTCAGCCATTCTCATCTCAGATGATGATGAACAGAGAACCTTTCAAGATGGTGAGTTCCAAAGCCTGGTCTTTTTATTTTTTTTATTTTTGTGAGTACACAGGAGGTATATATATTTATAAGGTACACAAGATATTTTGATACAGGCATGCAATGTGTAATAATCACATCATGGAAAATGGAGTATTCATCTCCTGAGGCATTTATCCTTCATGTTATAAGCAATCCAGTTATACTGTTTTAGTTTTAAAAAAATGTACAATTAAATTATTTTGACGGTACTCACCCTGTTGTGCTATCAAATGCTAGGTATTATTCATTCTTTCTAGCTTTTTAAAAGTGCCCATTAACCATCCTTACCTCTCCCCCAGGCCTCCCACCACCCTTCCCAGTCTCAGGTAGCATCCTTCTATCTCTATGTGTTTGACTGTTTTGACTTTTACATCCCACAAGTAAGTGAAAACATAAGATGTTTGTCTTTCTATTCCTGACTTATTTCACTTAACATAATGACCTCCAGTTTCATTCATGTTTTTGCAAATAATAGGATCTCATTCTTTATTTTATGGGTGAATAGTATACCATTGTGTATATGGATGATATTTTCTTTATACATTCATCTGTTGATGGACATTTAGTTTGTTTCCAAATCTTGACTATTATGAACAGTGTTGCAACAAACATGGTTTGTTTGTTCTTAAATCTCTCTTTGGTATACTGATTGCCTGCCTTTTGGTGTATATACCCAGCAGTGAGATTGCTGGATCATATGGTAACTCTAGTTTTTGTTTATTGAGGAAGGTCCAAACTGTTCTCCAAAGTGGTTGTACTAATTTACATTCCTGTCAACAGCATAGGAGAGTCTCCTTTTCTCTGCATCCTCCCCAGCATGTGTTATTGCCTGTCTTTTGGATATAAACCATTTTAACAGGGCTCAGATGATATTTCATTGTAGTTTTGATTTGCATTTCTCAGATGATCAATGATGTAAGCACATTTTCATATGTCTGTTTGCTATTTGTATGTCTTCTTTTGAGAAATGTCTACTCATATCTTTTGCCCATTTTCAATCAGATTATTAGATTTAGTTATATGGAGTCATTTGAGCTTCTTAAATATTCTGGTTATTAATCCCTTCTCTGATGGGTAGTTTGCAAATATTTTCTCCGATTCTGTGGGTTGTGTCTTCACTTTGTTAATTGTTTCCTTTGCTGTGAAGAAGCTTTTTAACTTGATGTGATCCCATTTGTCTACTTTTGCTTTTGTTGCCAGTGCTTGTGGGTTATTTACTCAAGAAATCTTTGCCCAGACCATTGTCCTGAAGAGTTTCCTTAATGTTTTATTTTAGTAGTTTCATAGTTTAAGGCCTTATATTTAAATCTTGAAATGATTTGGATTTGATTTTTGTGTATGGTAAGAGATAGGGGTCTAGTTTCATTCTCCTGGATATGGATATCCAGTTTTCCCAGCAACATTTATTGAAAAGACTGTCCTTTCTCCATTGTATCTTCTTGGCACCTTTGTCAAAGATGAGTTCACTGTAGGTACATAGATTTGTTTTTAAGTTCTCTATTTTGTTCCATTGGTTTTGTGTCTGCTTTTATGGCAGTACCATGTTGTTTTGGTTACTATAGCTCTGCAGTTTAATTTGAAGCCAGGTAATGTGATTCTTCTGGTTTTGTTCTTTTTGCTGAGGATAGCTTTGGCTATTCTGGGTCTTTTGTGGTTCCATATGAATTTTAGAATTTTTTTTTCTTACTGTGAAGAATGTCATTGGTGTTTTGATAGGGATTGCATTGAATCTATAGATTGCTCTGGGGAGTATGGACATTTTAACAATAGTAATTCTCCCAATCCATGAACATGGAATATCTTTTCACTTTTTTGGTGTCTTCTTCAATTTCTTTCATCAGTGTTTTATAGTTTTTATTGTAGAGACTTTTCACTTTGGTTAAGTTAAATCCTAGGTGTTTAATTTTATCCCTGTTGTCAATGAGATTAATTTTTAAATTTCTTTTTTAGAGTGTTTACTGTTGGCATATAGAAATGCTACTGATTTTTGTATGTTGATTTTGTATTCCTCAACTTTACTGAGGAATACAGTTCTAATAGTTTTAGTTCTAATAGTTCTAATAGTTTTTTAGTTCTAACAGTTTTTTTAGTGGAGTTCTAATAGTTCTAATAGTTTTTTTAGTGGAGCCTTTAGGTTTTTCCAAATATAAGATCATATCATCTGCGAACAAGGATGATTTGACTTCTTCCTTTCCAATTTGGATGCCCTTTAGTTCTTTCTCTTGTTTGATTGCTCCAGCTAAGATTTCCAGCACTATGCTAAATAGCAATAATGAATGTGGACTTCCTTGTCATGTTCCAGATCTAAGAGGAAAGGCTTTCAGTTTTTCCCCACTCAGTATGGAACTAGCTGTGGCTCTGTCATATATGGCTTTTATCATGTTGAGGTACCTTTCTTCTATACCTGGTTTTTAAAGGGTTTTTTATCATGAAGGGATGTTAAACTTTGTGAAATAGCTTTTTAGCATCAATCGAAATGATCATATGGTTTTTGTACTTCATTCTGTTGATATAATGTATCACATTGATTGACTTGCGTATGTTGAACCATCTTTGCATCCCTGGGATAAATCTTACTTGCTCATGATGAATCTTTTCTTTTTTTTGAGACAGGGTTTTACTTTGTTGCTCAGGCTGCAGTGTGGTGACATGAACATGGCTCACTGCAATGTCTGCCTCACATGCTCAAATGATCCTCCCACCTCAGCCCCCAAGTAACTAGGGCTACAGGCCTGTGTCACCATGCCTGGCTAATTTTTGTATTTTTTGTAGAGACATGGTCTCACCATGTTGCCCAGGCTGGTCTCAAACTCCTGAGCTCAAGTAATCTGCCCACATTGGCCTCCCAAAATGCTGGGATTACAGGTGTGAGCCATGACACCTGGCTGTAAATGACCTTGTTAATGTTTCATTGAATTCAGTTTGCTAGTATTTTGTTGAAACTTTTTGTGTCAATATTCATCAGAGATATTGCCTATAGGGTTTTTTTCCTTTTCTTTTTTTTGATGCGTCTTCGTTTAGTTTTGGTATCTGGGTAATACTGGCCTCATAGAATGAGTTTTGAAGTATTCTCTCTTCTATTTTTTGGAACAGTTTGAGTCAGACTAGTATTCATATTTCGTTTTAAATGTTTGGTAGAATTCAGCAGTGAATCCATCAGGTCCTGGGCTTTTCTTTACTGGGAGACTTTTTATTACAGCTTCAATCTCATTACTCAGTACTGATCTGTTCAGGTTTTTAATTTGTTCATGGTTTAATCTTGGTAGGATTTATATGTCTAGGAATGTATCCTTTTTCTCTAGATTTTCTAATTTATTTGCATATGGTTGCTCATAGTAGCCACTAGTGATCCTTTAAATTTCTGCTGTATCAGTTGTAGTGTTCCTTTCCCATCTCTGATTTTATTTATTTGCGTTCTCTCCATTTTTTTTTTATTGGTCTGGCTAAAGTTTTGTCAATTTTTGTATATCTTTTCAAAAAACCAACTTTTTGTTTCATTGATCTTTTTGTTTCATTGATCTTTTGTATTGTTTTCTTCACTTTATTTTCATTTATTTCTACTCTGATCTTTATTATTTCTTTTTTTCTAATTTTGGGTTTGGTTTGATCTTGTTTTCTAGTTCTTTAAGATGCATCATTAGGTAGTTTTTAATGAAATTTTTCTTCTTTTTTGATTTGTCCAGTTATAGCTAGAAATATGCCTCTTTGTACTGCTTTGCTTTGTCCCACAGCTTTTCGTATGATGTGTTTCCATTCTCCTTTGTTTCAAGAAATGTTTCAATTTCCTTATTAATGTTTTCCTTGACCCACTGGTCATTCAGGAGCATATTGTTTAATTTCCATGTATTTGTATAGTTTCCAAAATTCCTCTTATTGTTGATTTCTAGTTTTATTCCATTGTGGTCAGAGAAGATGGTTGATATTATTTCAATATTTTGGAATGTTTTAACACTTGTTTTATCACCTAACATGGTGTATCATTGAGAATTATCCATATGGTGAGGAGAAAAAATGTGTATTCTGCAGCCTTTAGATGAAATGTTCTGTAAGTATCTATTAGGTCTATTTGTTCTATAGTGCAGAATAAGTCTCATGTTTCTTTCTTGAGTTTCTTTCTGGGAGATCTGTTCAGTGCTGAAAGTAGGGTGTTGAGGTCTTCACCTATTACTGTCTCTTTAGCTCTAAGAATCTCTCTTTAGCTCTCTCTCTCTTTAGCTCTAATAATATCTCTCTCTTTAACTCTAATAATATTTGCTTTATACATCTGGTTACTCCAGTGTTGAGTGCATATATGTTTACTATCATTATATCCTTTTGCTAGATTGACCCCCTTATCTTTATATAATGACCTTTTTTGTCTCTTCTTACAGTTTTTGTCTTGAAATCTATTTTGTTTGACATAAGTATAGCTATTTCTGCCTTTTTTTTTTTTGGTTTCCTTTAGCATGGAATATCTTTTTCCATCCCTTTATTTTCAGTCTATGTGTATCTTTATAGGTGAAGTGTGTTTCTTGAATACAGCACATCGATGGGTCTTGACTCTTTATCCAATTTGCCAGTCTGTGTCTTTTAATTGAGGCATTTAGCCCATTTACAATTAATGCTATTGTTGATAAATAGGGATTTACTCCTGCCATTTTGTTATTTGTTTTCTGTTTGTTTTATGGCCTTCTTTTCTTCTTTTTGGCCTTCCTTTTAGGGAAGGTGATTTTCTCTGGTGGTGTTTTATTTTCTGCTTTATGTTTTGTGTACCCATTGTAAGATTTTTGATTTGGGGTTACTGTCAGAGTTGCAAATACTGTCTCATAACCCATTATTTTAAACTGATGAGAACTTAACATTGATTACATAAGCAAATTAACTAGTAAGCAAAAAGAAACCTAATAAAATAAAAATTTTACACTTTACCTTCTCACTTTCTAACTTTTTGTTGTTTGTCTTTATGTCTTATTGTACTATGTCTTGAAAAGTTGTTGTAGTTGTTATTTTTGATTGATTCATCATTTAGTCTTTCTGCTTGAGTAGTTTACATGCCACGATTATAGTGTTATAATGTTTATGTTTTTCCATGTGCTTTCTATTACCAGTGAGTTTTGTATCTTTAGGTGATTTCTTCTTGCTGATTAATGTCCTTTTCTTTCAGACTGAAGAACTCCCTTTAACATTTCTTATAAGACAGGTCTGGTGTTGATGAAATTACTCAGCTTTTGTTTGTCTGGAGATGTCTTTATTTCTCTTCATCCTTGGAGGATATTTTTGCCAGTTACACTATTCTAGGATAAAAGTTTTTTTTCTTCAGCAATTTAAATATGTCATGCCATTCTCTCCTGGCCTGTACGGTTTCCAGTGAAAAGTCTGCTGCCAGACATATTGCAGCTTCATTGTATGCTATTTGTTTCTTTTTCCTTGCTGCTTTAGGATCCTTTCTTTATCCTTGATCTTTGAGACTTTGACTATGAGACGCCTTGAGGTAGTCTGCTTTGGGTTAAATCTGCATGGTGTTCTATAACTTACTTGTACTTGAATGTTGATATCTTTCTATAGGTTTGGGAAATTATTTAATGTTATTCCTTTGGATAAACTTTCTTACCCTATCTCTTTCTCTATGTCCTCTTTAAAGTCAACAACTTTCAGATTTTTCTGAGGCTATTTTCTAGATCATATGTGTGTGCTTCATTGCTTTTTATTCTTTTTTCTTTTGGTTCCTCTGACTGTATATTTTCAAATAGGCTGTCTTCAAGCTCACTAATACTTCCTTATGCTTGGTCAAGTCTATTATTAAGTGACTCTCTTGCATTCTTCAGTATGTCAATTGCATTTTTCAACTCCAGAATTTCTGCTTAATTCTTTTTAATTATTTCAATTTCTTTTTTAAATGTACCTGATAGAATTCTGAATTCCTTCTCATACTATCTTGAATTTCTTTGAGTTTCTTCAAAATACTATTCTGAATTCTTTATCTGAAAGGTCACATGTCTCTTTTTTTCCCCAGGATTTGTCCCTGGTGCCTTGTTTAGTTCATTGGTGAGGTCATGTTTTCCTGGATAATCCTGATTCTTGTAGTGTTTTTTGGTATCTAGGCATTGACAAGTTAGGTATTTATTGTAGTCTTCTCAGTCTGGGCTTGTTTGTGCCTGTCCTTGAGAAGGCTTTCCAGGTATTCAAAGGGACTTGGACTTCCTGTTTAATATCTCTGTGGTTGTTTTAGACTCATAGAAGTTCTGCTTTGGTGGTCTTGCATAAAATCCAGAAAAATTACCTGGAATTCCAGGCAGAGACTCTTGTTTTTTCCCCTTACTGTCCCCCAAACAAATGGGGTCTCTCTTTCTCTCTGCTGAGCCACCTGGAATTGGGAGTGTGGTGATGCAAGCACCCCTGTGGCCACCACCACTGGCACTGCACTGGGTTAGACCTGAAGCCAGCACAGAACTGGGTCTCACCAAAGGCCTGCTGTAACCACTACTTGGCTGCCACCTGTGTTCACTCAAGGCCCTAGGGCTCTACAATCAGCAGGTGACAAAACCAGTGAGGTTTTTTCACTTCCTTCAGAGCACTGAGTTTTCCCAGGACCTGGGTAAGTGCAGAGATGCTGTTTGGGAGCTAGGGATTGAAATAAAAAATCTTATAAATTTACCTTATGTTCTACTCTACTACTGCTAAGCTGTCACTCAAATCACAAGACAAAGTTTTTCCCACTCTCCTCTCCCCTTTTCACAGGTAGAGAAGCTCTCTCTGTGGTCACCATTACCACTGGCCCATGAGGGGTTCTGCCAGGCCACTGCATATGTTTGCTGACAGCCCAGGAGCTCAACAGTCAGCTCGTGGTAAATGCTGTCTGGCCTGGGTCTCACCCTTTAGGGAAATGGGCTCTCCTCTGGCCCAGGGCAGGTCCAGAAATGCTGTTGAAGACCCTAGACCTGATCTTGAGGGCCCCAAGAGCCTGCTTGGTGCACTACACCACTGTGGCTGAACTGGTACCTAAGATGCAAGGCAAAGCCTCCTCTTGACTTTTTCCTCTGCTTTTCTCAAATAGAAGGAGTCTTTCACCATGGCCACCACAGTTGGGAATATGCTGGGTCACAACTTTGGTCAGTACATCTCAGAGCCCAAGGCCCACTACATACCACCTGGGTACTGCTGCTGGTTATTTAGGGCCCAGTGGTTCTTTATTAAGCAGATGATGAATTCTGCCAGGACTGTGTTCTTCTCTTCAAGGCAGTAGGTTCCCTTTTCACCCAGGGGTGTCTAGAGATGTTGTCCAGGAGCTAGGGCTTGGAACGGGGGCCTCACAACTCTACCTAGTCTCCTATCCTACTGTGGCTGAGATGGTATCCAAGATGCGGGACAGAATCTTCTCTACTCTTCACTCTCTTCCACTTAAACAAAGGGAATGAAACACTTTCATTGCTGTGAGCTGCACTGCCTGAGGTTGGGAGTGGGGTAGCACAAGCACCTTTTTTTAGTCACCCCAGCTGGTATCTCTTTAGGTCACATGTCACTCTAGTCCTCTGGCTCTGAGCCCAGCTCAGCATTAGAAATTGCCTAAATATTGCAGTCCTTCTGTCCTAGACTGACCTTTAAGTTTACCTAGGACTCCAGAGCACTCTGGCTGGCATTTGTGAGGCTTGCCAAGAAACTTGAGTTCTGAAAGAAGGAATGGGCAATTCCCCTTTGACTGGGTCTTATCCAAATTTTCCCTTTGTGCACTGGCACTGATTGAGCCCAACCTGGCTCTGCTCTCTGCTATGACAAGGCAGTACTGAGTTCAATGTAAAGTTTTTCACCCAGTCACTGTGCTCTCCCTCTCTCCCAAGAGTACAAAATTTCCCAGAGGCTAGTCTCCTGTGCTGCGAGGAGTGAGGAGTGGCTACCATCATTTCATACTATCTCTCCAACCCTCTTCAATGCCTCGCCCAAAGATATGACGTTAAAACCAGGTACTGTGATTACTCACCTGATTTTTGCTTCTATGATCGTGCTTTTCTTTGTGCAGACAGTTGTTAAAATTTGGTGTTTGTGTGGGGTGTATGAACCAGGTAGGCTTCTATTGCACCATCTCGCTCATCCTCCTCTGGCAGTTTTTTTTTGCCTAGAACTGAGGCACTGCTGATCCCTGACCCCCTTTGAATTCCCACAAGAGCCCTGCTTGGGCTCAGCCCACACAGACCCACAGAGAACTTTCCCCCAATCAGGCTCCTCCATTTCCTGCAATTGACCCCTTCCTCTGACTGAGCCACTGTCCCCTGGGGCCACAGGGAAACGAGGCTTTCTCCTTTGAACATTGGGAATGGTGTGAGTCTGTTGGAGAGAGAGGCTGCCTGGGGATCCATCTCTCTAGGGAAGTTTTTCAACTGAACTGATGGTACATGTGGGAAATAAGGGGAGGATACAGGAGTTAGAGGTGAGACCAAGAGGGAAAGAAGTAGAAGAGGAAAAGTAGGGGTAGACTAACGTTTGGTGAGTAAACATTTTTCTTTCTCTTTCCAGAGCTATTTCTGAAACCGAAATTTTTGAGAGGGCATTTGCCAAGTGAGTGGAATCTGGCCCTCCCCTCCAAGGACAATCTGCACAACAAAAACTCACCTGATTGCCTTTGGTGCTATTACCTAAGGTCTTGGAGTCTGGCCCCTTGGGAAAAGGGCTGGAACAGATAGAGAAGAGGGGTTCAGAGAAAGAAAGGCAGAAGACTGGAGAAATCCAGTCTTTGAGCCTCTTTGGTGAGGAATTTCATTTCTCTTTTTAGAATACGAACAAGTTTGCATTCTCCCAGTAGGTGAATGTGAGCTTGCTGGAGGTGGTGGTGGGGATCCCATCCTGCACACATGGGGTAAGTAGGGCAGATTGCTCCTGCCTTGCCTTTGCCACCACTGCCCTAGGGACTGGCCCTTGGTCATATGGAATGGAAAGGGTCCAGAAAGGCTGAGAACATGGAGGGATGAATGGTGATGGGGGCAGGAAGAAGTTAAGTGAGAGGGAGGAGGTGGTAGGAGAGCAGAACCCTCCAAAACATCTGAAAAGCAAATTTGGGGGGATGAGGAAGTGAGATGATGACTTGATTCTCCTTCTAGGAAGAATAGAGGAACCCTTCTGGCAAAGTAAGTATTTATTAAGGGGAAACCTGGGGCTTCTGGGTGGGAGCTGCAAATCTGAGCACCTAAATTGGTGGTTTCCATGCAAGTCAGAAATCTAGATCCACTTCCAAATTTACACTTTGCTCATGAAACAAACAAACGTTTATTGAGGACTTATTGGAAAACAAGAATTATTCTGAACTTGAAAGTTATGGCTGTGAACCAAACAGACATAAATTCTTGCCTCTTTGGAGCTTCCAATCCAGTGATCTGTCATCCCAAGCAGATCACCCTGAGGGCGCCTGATGCCTCCTGGGAGAAACAGAGGGCCCCCAACATCCACCCCATGGTTAATTCTTCATAGACTTTGAGGATACTGGCAAAGTTGCCTGATAATAAGGGCAGCCTATATGTGCCAAGTGCCTTACATACATAAACTCTGTCTCTCTCTTGCTTTTTGAGATGGGGTCTCACTATGTTGGCCAGGCTGGTCTTGAACTCCTGGCCTCAAGCAATCCCCCCATCTCAGCCTCCCAAAGAGCTGGAATTACAGTGTGAGCAACCATGCTTGGCCTACATAAACTCTTTTAATCCTCATAGCATCCCATTTAACCAATATGGAAACTGATTCCAGAGCACCTAAGATTTTCGCCTCTAAAGCCCAGTGCTAGATTTTACAGTATTCCTGACATGTCCTAGAAATGACCACTTTGTCATTATCTTCCATTAGTGATGATGTCTTTTCAAAATCTCAATCTCTGCTCCCAGTATCCTATTTCCTCTTTACAGAATGCTGGATTGTCCATCTTTTTAGCTTCTATGACAGCTCTATCCACAGAGCTCAAGTGTGCCATTAGCAGAGATAATTTTGGTTAGTAGCTGAAAGGGATGGAAGAGTTTGGCTCATATTCATGCAAACAGGCTATCATTTCAAGGATGTTCTAATCAAATACTTGCCCCACTTTCTGGTTGGCATTGATGCCTGAGAGCAGATTTCAAGCATCTACAAGAGGAGGTTTTCCAGAAAATAAAGACACTGGCTCAGCTCTCAAAGGATGTTCAGGATGTCGTGTTCTATAGTATCCTGGCCATGCTTGGAGACAGAGGGGCTCTACAGGACCTGATGGACATGGTGAGGGTCTCCACAGTTGCATAGGTCTGGTAAGATGTAAATGGGATTGGTTAGGAGATAGGACTCCCAAGTTACATGGGGGAGGAAGAATAAGCAAGATGCCAGGGGAATGAGAAAGACTCGGGACTCTGGCGCCGGGCACAATGGGCCAGAAAGTGCCGCCCCCACTACTGAGGCTGCTTGGAAACCCCGGTGGGAGGTAGAGAACCCTCACCCCTACCCCTTGGTTATCACCAGTAGACACAGGCAAATTATATAATGTTACTGTTATTAGTATTATTATTAACAATAATACCTGTCTTCTATAGCTGGAATTGGACAGCTCAGGTCATTTGGATGGCCCTGGTGGTGCCATCCTAAAGAAACTTCAACAGGATTCAAACTGTGCATGGTTTAACCCAAAGGATCCCATTCTTTATCTCCTTGAAGCCATAATGGGTAAGATTAATTAAAGGGAAGAATGGGAGAATCATAAGTTTGGTCCCCAGACCCCCCAAAAAGCTGTGTTAGATGCCATGTGTCCAAAGCCCTTTGAATGCCATGATCTTTCGTCCTTACATCACAGCTCTCTCTAAGGTCAGAGGACTCACTGTGATAACTTGCCATATGATACAGAATGAGTTTAAGGCCTAAGAAGTCACCAGTTTATGTTCATCCACAGATCACTGGAGGTGGGTGATTCCAGCCTTCAGCCCCTGAATCCCATCCTCTGGTCCCTCTTATTTAGCATCCTGGAGACCATTCTGAAGGGCTTCCCAGGGCAGGGAGCTTGACCTTTAAGTCTAATGGGTTTTATTCCTCTACTTTGGAGTTATTCTCTCAGGGAGTCTCCTGCTTTATGGTGGGAGGAAAAATCTGGATTCTTCACTACTGTCTTTCCCCACATGTCCTCCACCCTCAGTGCTGAGTGACATCCAACACGATTTGCTGGCCTGTTCTGTGGAGATGAGGATCCTGCTTCAGCAACAGGAGCTGGTGAGAACTTCCCAGGGGCCAGAAGTTCAGGGAAGAGGGTGAGGGAACCAGAGATAAGAAGAAAGATTCTGAGGAAAGAGAGATGATACAGGTTTATGCTGGGAGGGGAGTCCTTATCCAACGGTGGCCACTGGGAAATCCCTAGCTGCGGTGTCCTTCTGGACACCTGGTCCAGTGGGTATGAGCCTCCCTCAGGAGGGTCTTAGTTTCCATGGCAATCTCTGCAGCATTCCCCAATGGTCTAAAATAGCCATATGGGAGCACAGGACTTTGAGACTAAGGGGATATAATATTCCTGCTCTACTCACACTGTTACCATTTGCTAATTACTTCTGCTCTAGTTACACTGTTATGATTTGCTAATTTCTCTGTTTTTCTCTCTCCAAGTATATGTACATATAAATACGTACCTTTATATGCATTTACTGCATTCTTACATATGTGCATATACATTTAGAAATAAAAACACCACTCTTCTACGAGGAGAGTTTTATTTTCACCATTTCATAGATGTGGAACCAATGCTCCCTGATTTCCCATAACTTGATCTGCGGATCATAGGATATGACAAGCATGTTACTTCTGGTCCTCTGGATCCCAAAGCTCTTGCTCCTTCTGTTATCCTGCACGGCCCCTGGATGCTGGGCAGAAGCCTTTTCTTCCTGATCTTAAAGGCTGGTCTGTAGAGTCTGATCATCCTTCTTCTAGGTAAGGAGCATCCTGGAGCCGAACTTCAGATACCCCTGGAGCATTCCCTTCACCCTCAAACCCGAGCTCCTTGCCCCACTCCAGAGTGAGGGTTTGGCCATCACCTATGGCCTGCTGGAGGAGTGTGGCCTGAGGATGGAGCTGGATAGCCCCAGGTCAACCTGGGATCTAGAAGCAAAGATGCCCCTGTCTGCCCTCTATGGGACTCTCTCATTGCTACAGCAGCTGGCTGAGGCCTAGGCCCTCCCTGATGGGCAGTCAGTCCAGAGATACTGGCCCTTGCCCAGTCTATGCTGTGAGTGTCCTTATGGGTGCAAGAGACAGGGCTGTGCCTCTCTGCATTTCCAGGTGGAGTAGAGACAGTAATGGGTAGAGACTTTAGGAAATGTTTTGGGGTGGTGGAATATTCTATATATTGACAAGAGTTTATATATTTGTCAAAACTCCTCAAATAGTATGTTAAAGATGTAAGCATTTCACTATGTATAAATTTTACTTCAAAATAATAAAAACAAATACTGACTCTAGTTAACAGTGTGCATTTTGAATTGTTTTGGGTGAAGTGTACTGATAACGGTAACTGATATTGAAATGCAACAAAAAGTAAGTTGACTTGATGATAGATACATGACCAAGTAAATGTGATAAAGTATTAATAATTGGGGAATATGGGTGAAGGATATAGAAGAGGTTTTTTTTCTTTTTCTTGAAACATTTTGTGATTCTGACGTTTCATATTAGCCCCCACGTGTGTGTGTATGTGCATATTCCTCCATTATTAACATTTTATCACATTTTCTTGGTCATATATCTGTCTCATTCTGTGCTCTCTGTGTCATTTGCTAATGCCACCTGGCCTCATAAGCTGAAACCTGGGAGTCCACCTTGACTCCTCTCTCTCCTTAACCCCCGATCAACACAGTCTAGCCGACTCACTATAGCCCTCCTCTTCTCACCTGGACAGCTGGTCTAGTGCTCCCAGCTGGTTGTCCTGCTACCATCTTGTTCTCTTCAAATTCTCCTTGAATCCTGGAGGCTCTTATCACAGCAGGCATGGGAAATAATTTAAAAAATGCAACCTTTATATGTCACTCCTCTGCCTAAAATCCTTTAGAGGCTCCCTGTCATCTAGAATCATCAACCGAGATTTTAAATATGATGTCTCATCAGAATCACCTTGGCCCGCATTTCCACATGACAATAATCAAGTGCCTTGTCACTAGTTCACTCCAGTGTATTCCAGTAATCCTTATTGCTCACACCATGTCTTCACTTTTAGACAGTGTTTACTTATTTTTTGCTAAAAAAGGCAAGAAAATGAGTTCTTCTCCCATCTTGCTCTTCTATCATCTCCTATCTCCAATTATTTTATTATTTGTAAATTGCCAAGGAGTGTAACCATATTCCTCATGTCTGTTTAGTGTTAATTCTTTATTTTTTTTGAGACAGAGTCTCGCTGTGTCACTAAGGCTGGAATGCAGTGGCATGGTCTCAGCTCACTGCAACCTCCACCTCTCAGGTTCAAGTGATTCTTGTGCCTCATCTTCCTGAATAGCTGGGATTACAGGCATGCACCACCACACTTGGCTAGTTTTTGTATTTGTTTTTTGTACAGACGGAGTTTCACCATGTTGGCCAGGCTGGTCTTGAACTCCTGGCCTCAACTGATCTGCCTGCTTCGGCCTCCCAAAGTGCTGGGATTACAGGTGTGAGCCACCATTTCCAGTCTATTTAAATTTGTTCATTGCTAACTACCAGTCATTTTATTTTATTCCTTGAATGGCTGTGATCAAATAATTTTTTCAGTAGTGCTTCACTCCCCAAGTCCCTTCATATTTGAGAAACTTTGCCTGTTGCCTTTATTCTTGAAGAACTCCTTGGGGAGAGATTATATTTTTAGGTAACACCTTCTTGCCCTCAGTCTTTTGTAGCCATGCAAAGGTCTCCTGTTGACTTCTTTATGCCTTGAAGAAGATCAAGTCTAGTCAAATTTTCCCAAACTCTTTGCATATACATCTAAATGTATGCCTGAAGAATTATTTCTTCATCCTTGAAGTTAAGCACTTTAATCAGGCAATACCCGTGTCTCAGTCACTCTGTGTCACTTTTCCTGGGACACTGTGCCTTCTGAGCTGCAGATTCAATTCTTTTAGGAGTTTTTCCTCTTATAATAATTAAATATCTTTCATATTCTATTTGTTAGATTCTCTACCTCACAGGTACCAATTGTCCTGTAGGACTCTCATATATTATTTTGTCTAATTCCTGCATCTTTGATTTTTTTTCGTCTGCATTCTCTGAGATCACAGCAGGTCTTTGCTCTATGTCTATAACTCAACTGTCAACTATAATTCTTTCCAGTTTATCAGTTCAGATATTGTGTTGTGATCTCAGTTCCTTTCCTTAGCTTTGCAATCTCTCTTCACATATTTCTGTTGTTTTATCTTTGCAGTTTGAGGTTTTGCCTTATTAAAGTATTTATCTTAAATTCTTCCATGGCATAAAACAATTCTTTTTCTTGAGCTATGTTTTCTACCTGAATTGATTCCTCCACTCTCTTCTTTTCCTGTAGTGTGTTTGTATGGAATCTCTTGTCACCCTCTACCTTCCCCTGCCATGTAAAGCTCATCCTCAGCATGAGCAGCTCTGTCCAAACTCTATTTGCACAAAGACAATAGGGTAAATGAGTTTTTCTCAACTCTCTTATAAATGAAATGAGATGGTTTCTGTTCCTCTGCAAACTTTGGATTAAAACCTGTGTTTTCCAGTGCTTAAGGTCATGGCATGTGGAAGGGAAGGAGGGCTCACCTGGAGGTCTGGGCAGTCTTGGATGATTGCCCCGGCCTCTCTCTCTCCTTCTACAATTTTAAACATTCTCTGTGCCTGAGTTCCCTCACCTCATCAAGGGATTTTGCCCTTTTGGAAATGACTTCTGACGTGAACTCCCTGAATTCATTCAAGGAACTCAGGTCCTTTTGTCAATCCTTGTACTGATTAGATTGTGGGATCATCATGGCAGGTGATCTGAGGTCAGATTTCTTAATTCCTTCAAACTAGGGTGAATGAAGCAGACTCTTCATTGTTGGAGGAACAGCACGGGCTCCCATCCCAAATCCTAAGACTGTGGCATTAAGAGCTTTTTTTGGCCCATGAACATCTGCTTTATTCACTCCATTTCTTTATAGGCATTTAAAGATTTCCACCCTGCTGGGATGAGATGCCTGACATCCTTTCTCTTTCTCCTTTATTTCACCCTCTTCATTTTTCCCCATTCTCTTAGGAACTACACCAGTCTTCTTCACTGTCCAGGTTTCAGCATAACCTTTCCCTTTGGAAATGGCTTTGAGGCTAGTGGCTATATCTCTAGTGGGCCAGCATCTGAACTTGATCCAGCATCAGGATCTGCCCCAGCACATTCTTTCCATGACGATCCTAAGTACTGAGGCTGTAGTCAGGCCAGCCAGAATCTAAGCTTGACTTGTCTATTTCTTCCATTTTAACCATGGATCACAATAAGCAAGGAATTGTATGTTTTGCTCTTTCTTGTTACTTTGCATTTCCTGATGCATTACAATGAGGCAGCCCCCTTAGGAGTTGGATCTCCCTTTCCTAAATTCCATTGCTGGCCCAGCTCAGTGGCTCATGTCTGTAATCCCAGTGCTTTGGGAGTCTGAGGCGGGTGAATCACTTGAGGTCAGGAGTTTGGGACCAGCCTGGCCAACATAGTGAAGCTGTCTCTACTAAAATTACAAACATTAGCCGGAAGTGGTGGCGTGCACCTGTAGTCCCAGCTACTCTAGAGGCTGAGGCAGAAGAATCGCTTGAACCTGGGACATGGAGGCTGCAGTGAGCCAAGATCGTGCCAGTGCACTCCAACCTGGGTGACAGAGCAAGACTCTGTCTCAAAAAAAGAAAAATTCCATTGCTTAACTCTTATCAGTTAAGATCAGAGTTAGCAATCAGAAAACAGAGATCCTCAACTTCTATCATAACTGGTCACTGCACAGGTGCAGTTTTGTATCACAGGTCACTAGGGACTAGGTAGCTATTCAGGAATCAATGAGTATTCATCTCTTACCCTCTCATTCTTTCTCTTCCCAAAGCACATGTTTCAGTGAGTCCGGGTCACTGTAGTCAATACCACTTTTGTGAGATCAGAAAAATGACTTTTGACAATAACTACCTGGAGTCAGACTGAATTTTGCAGATGCAGGGCACTGCCCTCACTTCAGACACCAGCTACAAATTTGGGAGTTCCCAGGACATCTTCACTTTTGACCAGCTGGCTAGAAACTTGGTGTTTCTCACTACATCTTCAGGTTCAATAATTCACTGACACAACTCACAGAACTCATTGAAAGTGTCATACTTGCATTTACATTTTATTATAGCAAAAGGATGCAAATCAATCAGCAAAAGGTAGAGTTGCATAGGGTGAGGTCTAGGAGGTTCTGATATGTGAAATATGTTTTTTTAAAAATATATTTTATTTTGTATTTTTAAGGTATAGGAAATGTTATTATGGCATGCATATAAATAGTAAAATGTATTAGTCCGGTTTCATGCTGCTGATAAAGACATACCCGAGACTGGGTAATTTATAAAGAAAAAAGAGGCAGGCAAAGAGGGAATGAGAACCAAATGAAAAGGGAAATCTTTTCATTTGTCCCTTGAAACCTCTTATAAAACCATCAGATCTCGTGAGACTTATTCACTACTACTATTCACTACCACGAGAACAGTATGGGAGAAACTGCCCGCTTGATTCATTATCTCCCGCCCAGTACCTCCCATAATACTTGGGAATTATAGGAACTACAATTCAAGATGAGATTTGGGTGGGGACACAGCCAAACCATATCAGTTACTATGGTGAAGCAAATGAACATAAATGTGAAACTCCCATGTCCTCAGGGACAGCTCACCCTCTTGGCACATCTGGGTATACAGAATATCATCAATCAAGGAACTTTACCTGAAGCAGGACCCTCAGCATGTTGGTGCACGGAGGAGTGGCATATGTACTTAAGATTTTATATTTCAAGTCCGTAGTTTTTACAATGTAAATGATAGGAAGTAAGACTCCATTTTGGTAAATCTTGTCTGGTGGTGATATGCAGAAAGTACAGCTCTAAGCTACGTTCTCAATGGGCTGCATATCAGATTCCTAAGACTGAGAAGGGAGGGCATGGGACTTTTATGAATATTAGAGGAGGCAAAAGTAAAATAAATGCATTGTGAATACTATCAGTGGAAAGGAACGGGACTATTTTGTGTGTCAGTTCTGGGATGTTACTCAGAAGTTATAGGTGTGGCAATCCTGTTAACACAGTTTCTCCGCCGTCAGGCACTTTACTTATTCCTGTAAGCCTACAGGGAGTAAATGGAAAGGGAATGGGTTTGGGGCAAGATTTTTTTTTGTCCTTTTGCTTTATCTTTAGGATATTGTTGTAAGATTGGATTATACAACATATGCAAGGTGCTTGACAGAAAGGAGGTGTTAAAAACATTAATTCCGCTTGTACAG